ATTGAATATATCACTACTTTTAGGTAATTTCAAAAAGTTTACATTTAATACACTTAAACTTTTTAAATCACAAAAAGCTATTAAAAGTTTCAGTTGAATACACTCCTTATATTGATTTTAATAAGAGCTTTGGCCCCATATCTAATAATTAAGTCCTAAATATGGCATGGCTTGGATTGATTTGATGCTTGGCCAACTAAGGTAGGGCGATTTGATGGGTATTGGTCCATTAGGAAATTGATATTTCATTTTACCAACCAAAATAAAAGTCGAGGCATTTTCAAGAATGTCCAATTTTAGAGGTGTGAATTGAAAAGTGTTCTATTCTGACAATCCTTGCAAAACTGTCCAAATTTGATATCAAATTGTCTACTTTACCCTCATGAAAAGATTAATCAATTTTATATCAATTTGACACAATTTTCAAGAAGAGCCAATAGCTTCCATGAGAAGCTACAATAATGTTACTATTACTTAAGTGACTCCACTTGCCTACATTTTTAATTAGATTTTAATCAATTATTTTAGAACAAATGAAGAAGGAGTAGAAATTTCATTAACACATACAAAGAAGTATATGACTCCAACTCCAAAGAAATCATTTTATTTCATGTGCATAAATTTACTGTCGTCGAAATTTGAAGTTGATTAGGCTCTCATCATTTTTCGATCAAAGGTATATTTCTTTGAACTTTCATTTTTTTGATAAGTTGTATTTAGTAGTTGTTGTTATATATGTTCAAATCTCATTTTTTTTATAAGGTATTTTTTCACTTCAATGGATTAAATTATCCAAACAAGGAATAGATATTTGTTGTATCATTCATTTTAAATAACTTAGTTAGATAGTAACTTTTGTATTTAGAATATCATTAATGGTGGAATAAATTATTTGCAAAAATTGTGGTTGAAGTTGAAGAATATGATAAATGCATGGAATCCCATCATTTCATTCTCGACATTTTAGAAATATCGATAACGATAGTGTAAATGTCATTCTCGATATTTATAAACATCGAGAATGATATTTATACTATCATTCTCAACACTGTCAAATATCAACAATAACATTAAAAACTTGACGAAATTGGGAAAATTTCATGTATATGTAGTTGGCATCTTCATTTTTTATTTTTGTTGGTGGCTGACATTATTATTGTGTATTGCATGCAGATATGGAAGATATTAAGATATTTTTTGTCTCGTATGGTGGTAGATTCGTCAACATGGACGACAGGTGGAAATGGTTAGGAAACCGAACAACATCAATTGTTGTTCGATATGATATTACATATGAAGAGCTTGTACATAAATTATTCGAGAATTCAATTGAAATTTACAGTTCCAAACATGAATATACCCCCGATGATGTAGCCAACGATGAGGATTTGCAATGGTATATATCTGTTCACAGAGAAGCAACGTTGTGTGTAATTGCAGATGAATATGATGTTGGAAAGCATGAACTGCATTTCGGAGTTGAGCCTTTCTTACCAATAGAAAATTCATTGTGTAGACGCGACGAAGTTTGTACAAGAGCTACAAACAATTGATAATACGAATGAAAGTTTAGGTGAATGAAATTTGTATATTCGAAATACAATTCAATCGATTGATAAAGAGGACATTACGAAGAATCGGATATTCTTTAGCAAGCAACAGTTATACACAAAGCTTCAACTTAAGGTTTTGAAAAAAAAGTTTCATTTCAAGGTTAAAAAGTCGAATCCTAGATCTCTTATTGTGTGTTATGTCAATACTACATGACATTGGCTAGTGTGAGCTTTTTTAAGATTCGAAAGTACATACCTGAGTATACATGTTCTCTAGACATTCGACGAAATGCACAAATTCATGCAACAAGTGCATAATTGGACATCACATAATGCGAAGATTGGACAAAGCAAACCAACCATACGTTCCTACGGGTATTATCGGGGATATAGAACGTAAGTTTGGAATATGGATTACCTACAACAAAGCATTGAGGGGTAAAGAGAATGGACTTTGATTTCTTCGTGGTACACCCAAAGAAAGTTTTCAGAAATTATCATCATATTGTCACATGTTAATCGAGAAAAACCCAGGAACCATTGCACACATTGAACTTGACTCAAATAATAGGTTTTTATATTTCTTCTTAGCATTCGGGCCAAGTGTACGTGGTTTTCGAGAGTACATGAGGTCAGTAATTTATGTTGATGAAAGTCATTTGAAGGGCAAGTATAAGGGAACACTGCTAGTAGTTGCAGTACAAGATGCTAACCTGCAAATATATCCTCTTACTTGGGCTGTTGCCGATAGGGAAACAAATGCATTGTGGTATTCGTTCTTCACGAAGTTGAAAGATGTCGTTGATGACTCAAACCAACTTGTGTTTGTGTCGGACAGAAAGAAGAGTATTGACCAGGAAATTACGAGGTTGTTCCCGCTTTCTCACCACGGTGTCTGCATCTGGCATATCGAAAAAAAAATCTTATTGCTAGGTATAGCAGTAGCAATGTCATATTCTTGTTCAAGCGCGCAGCGCTAGCATACTGCCTATCGGAATTTGATCAGTTCATGACATGGATAAGAGTCATTCGACTGTCAATGACATCTTACTTAGAACATGCCCGTATATCCATCTGGTCATGGGCAAATTTTGTTGGTAATCAGTACAACGTTATGACGAATAACATTGCTGAGTCACTAAATCCAGTCCTAAGGTGACAACGAAGTTTCCCTATAACCTAGTTGGTCGAAAAATTACGTCACTGGTGCAACGATGGTTCTATGAGAGAAGAATCGCATCCACCAAATGTAGTACGACCGTGACACCAAAAATTGAAGATGAATTGAGAAAATCGTTTGACGCCGGTGCAACTTTACACGTACGAAATTTGGACGAACTCATTTTTTAGGTAGGTACAGCTACCGAACTTTATACTATCGACCTTATAGGTAACACATATTCATGTTAAGAGTTTCAGATGCGACAAATCCCATGTTCACATGCATCCCGAGCTGCTTGTGCAAAAGAAAAATCACTATACGACCTGTGCTCTCCTTACTACACCACAAAATGTTGGCGAGTTGGGTACAACGAAGTTCTTCACCCCGTTAGCATGGAGTCGGATTGGGTTGTTCCTCAGTCCATTCGTTCCATCAAAGTTTTGCTCCCAAATATACATAGAACACCAAGTCGACCGCCTACCCAACGTCAACGGTCAATAACTGAAAGGCAATTTTGACACAAAAATGTGGCCAATGTGGAAGTTCTGGACATAACGGGCAAACATGTAGGAATCTGACACCTTTAAGTGACAGGTACACTTGAATGACATTGTGTATTCCGATTGTCAAATGCTCTAATAACATGGATTATCGATATTTTGAATATGCTTTTATGCATTAAGTGCTTTTTATCTTAGTTAATGAAGACATGTTTTGAATATATTTTTAACTTTTACTTCTTCCTTTTTTCTTTGTTCTCTCTTCATAGTACTTATTTACAATTGCTTATTCTAAAATTAAACTCGTAATACATTCTCAATCCTTTATACAGATCCATCCCTTTTTTGGTGATTTTCTCTTATATTACCCTTGTCATTCAAAATTTTATAGCGCACGAATAGAAAAAATTCCTATAGACATTTCACCAAGTACAAACAAGAAAACCCAGGTAATTTAAGTAGCTAAAAACAAGGAAAATGGTGATCACATATATTCTTATGAACATTTCAGTACGATATCATTTTGTCCATCATATAAGTAAACAATTATATATAAATTCATTACTGAGATTTTCTTAATCATTATAAATACAATGTAGTAATAGATATAAAAGTAAGTCATGAATGACTCATTCTCCTAAGTCACTGGAGCAGATGAAATGGTAATCACAATAAAAGGAAACCATAACTCCAATGCATGTCGTAAACGACTACTATACAAAATGGTGATTACCCAAAAAATATCCATCACCTATATGGATTTTAGAGCGCTAGTATATGTACTTAAACATTTCACTTACGAAGATCGCATTTTCTACATATCATCCACTACAAACAAAGAGGACAGATCACTGTCATGCTCCTCTTCGGAGTTTATGATGATCACATCTTCATTTTAAACCGCTCCGACATTGTCATCCAACAATACATGATGTGCTTCCGGTGGGATCTCACAACGAACTTGAATTGGCTCAATTTCATCGATTAGATTCAAAAAAGAAATCAGTTGAAGGCAAACCCTACGATGACGGTTTGAAGGTTGAACATATGGAACGAAGGTATTGCTTTCGCCATTCGAGTTCGAGTCTATGATGTTCTGGTTGTCCGCGGACGAGTCAGGGGGTCGAAGGTGATAGTAATATCGATATGATGAGTACGTTCAGTTGATGAAGACATAATCGATGAAAGAACTAGGTATTGCTATGAATTTGTTGAAATAATCGTCTGTGCTTATTGAAGCAAAGTTATGTCTTTTATAGTGGAGGTTGACTTGTCTATTGAATGCATGAGAAGATATCTCACCAGCCCACCTGTTTCTTCCATTCATGTCATTATTAATTTATTGTTGTTTCATATCATTATGGTTGAGAATGTACTTGTCCTTGGCACACCAATATTAATTAACATCTGAATTGCTATAGGAATCATAACTTTTGCAATTAATAGTCCAATTTTTTCAGTCGTAAATTGGTTGTAATTAACTCTTCATTAAAATTGGTTGGATTGCCTTTATCTTGACATTGGATGCCATTCTCGATATTTGGAACGTTGTTCTCAACATTAAACTGCTGTTAATATCGACACTTGACATTACAATTGTCTAGAACGACACTTAAACCAAAATAGGATATATCTCTACATTTCAACGATTTCTTGACATTTAATATGTAGTTCTCGACATTAAATAGCTGTGAAGTTCGAAATTTCAAATAAACCACTAAATTCGAATCAACCCATGTTCATATTGCGTACCACCATATAAACCAAAATACGGAAACCACTAAATTCAAATCAACCTAAAGCTTGATATTTCATATTGCAAGTATACCAAAATACATGACAAAATACCACCATATAAACCAAAATACATATTGCGTACCACTATATAAACAAAAATATACAAACCACTAAATTTGAATCAACATAAAGTTCATATCAAATCACGATTATGTACCATCAACCAAAATACACAAACTACGCATTCTTCTTACCCCTATTGCGATCGGACCGGATGAACGATGTCTTTGTGTTCGCACTAGCCTTATTTAGCCTCAACGATCAAGGTCTGCGTGTAGGTGGATTAGCAATGGACGCATGTAAACTAGCCCAAAAACTCCAACCTCACCTCCCGACGTTATGGACACATTAGGGATATTGCAAACAACTGCTTCAGTGGCCTCTCCGACATTCTATTTATCCGCAGAAATATTGGGAGTTAAAACATCACGTTGGGACACATCTCCATTGCGATCATCATGACCAAATCCACCATACTCATCAGCAAAATTGTGTTGCCCAATTTCTATAGCAACTTCATCAAACCTACGTCGAAGCACATTTATCTCATTAGTGACATGATTTCTCAAACCGCACACATGACCTCCCAAATCATTTTGGAGACTAACAAATATTGTGTTCATCTCCTCCCTTAAATTGCTCATCCTACTCTCAAATGCCTCCCGTTGTTCGTTCAAGAAAGCTCTTATCTTGTCTAAAGACACGGTCCTTTCGATGACCAGATACCCATGCTCTTCTTCTCTGCCTTCAACATGATGTAAATCTCGATGACGAAGTCCACCTTTGTTGCGTCTTTGAGATTTATTTGGTTGATGGTTGTTGTCATCATTCCGTATAACATCATCTTCAACTGGACAAGCTTGTACTTCTATTGATTGAGCAACGAGACCGTCTAGAACGAGGTCAGTTGCATCTTCCAACAGAACTAGATCAACAAAGTACAACTACAATTCTTCTACAGCAGTTGCGCGCAGCGTTACCCACAAGTGCACCTACAAGGAAAGGAAAAATAGGCGAAATAAAATATTATATATTGTGAAAGTGTAAAGCAATTGCGTATGCAAATTGTTCACATGTGTCTTCTCAAAAAATCTGAATATTTCGAGAATGACGTTGTTTCGTGTCAGACCACCGTAACATCCTCAGAACATCGTCACAAGTCTTACTCGAGAATTGAGCACCAAACTCCAGGATTGCCTCGTACGCCCAAATCTGCAAGACATTTATAACAGTAATAACAATATTCGGAAGTACATAACAATGTGCGATGAAAAGAATTGAAATGAACCAAAATACATGTATTCCTGGACAGCAAGATGAAATCTGTACAGCATGTTAGTCATCCTATCACAATCGTTCACTTTTGCTATGTCCACTTTTCTTCCCCATCCACGTAACAGTGATTTGATAAGAAGTTGAAAACATACTAGCCCCCATGGGTGGCATTGAAGAAATACAAGTCGTCAACGATAGAGAGTTGTCGGATTTATTCATACATTTCGATCTCTTGAATTAAATACCCCTTCAATAATTAGTGTCAAACCAAGCTTGAAACGATCGTTATGGTTGGCACATTTCAAGAAAACTTTCTCCTGGTCGCTACAAGTTATCCGGTCCATATTAGCAAACATTCTGTCATGTAGATTGTTTTCTCTAGGATTTTGTCAACTTCGGTGCCTTTAGGTATTGGACCAAACTTCAAGCCGGTGACTAATGCGAACTCCGGCAGTCAAAATTGTGCGAACCTTTGGTTCACCTTAAACCAAGCCTCAAATCGCTTTTGGCAGACCACCGATCTCTTTACCATTTCATGAATTAATTGAGCGGATAATTTCAGCTCCGGTAACCTTGCAACATGTCTATACAATTGTCCTCCAACAGACACTTTTGTTGTGGTCCAATTTGTTGAGGATAACTGTTATGTATTTTGTGTTGCTGACTTGTGTGACATGAGCTGGAACACATTCTTCCTCCGAAATTTTATGTCGGTGTGACATACTCATCTACAAATCAAACAAATGAAGACAACATTTTTAACAAATTTAGTGCGTGAAAAGTGTGAAATGTGCCAAATGCCTGAAATTACTAAAATGTGCAAAATGCATGCAAACACGAAAGGATAAAAAAGCGTGAAATGTGCCAAATGCACTGAATAGTCCAAAATGTATGAATATACTCATGAAAATAATTTAAAATGTGCAGAATTTGCCAAAATGCAAAAATGCACCAAAATTGATGAGGACATCTGAAAATTTAAAAAAAAAAAAAAGAAAAGAAAAGCATGTAACAAAATGCACGTAAACAATCCAAATTTCACAAAATATAACAATAAGGTCATAAAAGGAAAACAACCTTAGATTATCAAGGAATCACTCACAAGTGCAAGTTTCCATCAGAAAGTTGATTGGGAATTGGTCTTACATCTATACTAGTTTTTTGCCCGTATAATGCACGGGTTGTGTTATTTTGAAGGTAATTTTAGATTCTTGAATGTTAAAAATTGAAAACCCTAGTTTACATTTGATCGGTTGGAGACCCAAAGGCTGCACTTACCAAAGTAAGGGACTCCAGCTAAAATTTACCCAAAAACTCTTAGAACACGGAACTGGAAGACGAAGAAAAAATGTCTATTACTTTGATCTTGTAATATGAATGTTATATACTCACATCACATATTCAACAATAAAGCTAAGGTTCCTCCCATTCCCTTAAATTTGAAATTCCATTACACGTGAGTCATGTAAACTATAAATTTCAAACAGTTACAGTTTTAATGTAATTCACATCTCCTAATCTTCAAATGTTTTATTTTACACATTATAATCGTCCATTTTTAGAGGTCATGTAGAATAGTTGGCTGAGTTTTAACACTGAAAACAAAATTGTACAAAACAAGCTGAAAATCTATATAATCAATTAGCTTGCCAAAGGTAGTATAACCAGATTTTGCCAAATTGCATGCTTAAAGGACTAAAAACTCAACTACCCTCTTCAACTTGGAATTTGGAATTTACTTGATGCTGCAGTTTACTCGGACTACCAGATTTGGCAATCTCAACTACCGGATTATTTTTTTGTGGCTCATATTATTATTTACTTGATGCTGGTGTTTACTCGGACGAGGAATTTGGAATTGAAAGTCATGAAAAAGATAGATGAACAACATGCTTTCAACTTTCCACTCTGAGGCTTCAATAAGTATGTGCTACTACCTACTTGATGCTTCAATTTATTCAAATGAAGCAATTGGAATTCAAATTGAAGAAAAAAGAACACTATATATTTGAAGAAAATGCTTTCAACTTTCATGTTAATGCCACTTGGTGCCTAGGCATAACAACTAGGACTGTAAGCAGAAACTGCAAAACCGGAAAATCGAACCGAAACCACATTTTAGAAACCGTCGGTTTGGTGCCACGTGGACTCGGTCAACGAAATGGTTTTGACCCAAACCAAACCGGTGAAAATGGTTTGGTTTAGGTTTGAGAATTTTAATTGCGATTTAAAACCAAACCGGACCGGCGAAAAAATATGTAAAAAAAATGAAAAATGAAATTTTTTGAAAATTCATCCAAATATGTAAAATTTAATAGTTTTGTCATTTGTGGTTATTTTTGTTAATTTCTAATTTTCTAATACAGATGTATTATTATTATTATTATCCAATAATCATAATATATATCTAATAATTTCAAAACTAACATAATCTATCAAAAGTCTTTTTCCTCTTCAAAATTTAGATGAACTCTAGTCAACTCCTAATACAGTCTTGAGCCACCGTCACCACACACTTCTTTTTCAGATTTTTCATGCATTTTCAAAGTTAAATTGAAGTCCATTATACCAAATCGGAGACAGAGATTACAGACTTTCGGTGATAATATTTGTTACGAATAAAGTTTCATATCAATAATTTTTTTAGAGCAAATTAAGGTAAGAATCTGAAATTAAATGCATTTCGTAACATCATACAAACGTAAACTTATGTAATTGTTATATTTAGATATTATGAACAATTGCTTTATTATTGTGGGTGGCTATTCTCTTTATTTAATTAGTATCCTTTTTTTCAGATATAATGATCACGAGATCTTATTGGACATCATTATATTTTTTGGGCCTTATATCTAGTTTAGTAGACTTTTATTGTAACGTTATTGTATCGTCATTAGCCTAAAAAGGTGAAAAAAATGAAAAAAAAAAACTATGTTTTAATTTATTGTGATTTCACTTTAATTTAATTGGTATTTAAATTTATAGTAAATATATTTAGCCCATGTTTGAGCCATATTTTTCATATCGTCATAATTAGAAAATTAACTGTTGGAGAGGAGGCTGGATCCCACACATGAAACAGTAGGTCAACAAAGGCGGCTGAACTTATGGGATAACGGTCCAAATTTTCATTTTTTTTATCCTAAAAATTTGGTTCAAATAGGTGCTTAATTTGTTTTAAATTTATTACTAGTAAAATATAAATATATATTGAATTCAATGAATTAATGATATAAAAGTAGACGGACAAAAAAATATATGGCGAAACCGGTGGTTTAAAACCGGACCAAACCATTAGATTTAGGTTTGAGTTTTTTTCAAACCGTTCAAAATCGTTTGGTTTAGGTTTGAATTTTTCTCAAATCATTTTAAACGGTTAGGTTTGAAAATCTGTCAAAAATCGGTAAAATCAGACCGCTTACACCCCTAATAACAACTGTAGCCCTCATGAATCCTAATGTATAATACAATTGTCAAAAAGGAGGGAAAAAAAAGTAAATAACAATTGATCACCAACTAATTTACCTGCAACAACTCTAATTAGTTCAAATGCGTTGAAATTTGGAAGTAGATTGAACACATCCTGCAGAATTTAGGGGGCATATCAGGATAAGATAGGAAATAATAAGTAATTATATGATATCCAAAGTAAAGGACGACAAGTGAAAAGTTACAAAGTGGTAAACTTCAACAATTATGCTAAAAATTTGAAAAGTGCAGTACCAATAAGAGGATTTTAGGTATTCTATTTTACATTCTCGACTTGCTGATGAGGATTTCTAAATCTAAATTATTTACAAATTCATATTCTAGAGTTATCAAGTTGCAATAGGATGAAAATTTCCAATCTGAAGGGGGCTTTTTAAATCTTTGAACAAGATGGTCAATCCCAGGCCTATAAACACACTTGAACAAAGTTTAAAGCAAACCATTATGTATCCATATCAAGAAATCAATCGACTTATACATATATGAACTTTATATACATACATCATTCAGCCCAAATTTATAACTACAGGTAGATAACCAGATATCTGCCAACACAAAGATCTATTTGGAATAACATTAGCCATTATACATACAAATTAATTAAAAGCTTGTTAAACTAAGACTTCTCCAAGGTTAGAGTTGTAAAGGAAGAGAATTTAGGATTCAGTTTACAGCTTAATTAAATGCATGTAACTAAGACTTCTCTAACATTAAGATCTATTTCTTACCTACGATGTTGCTGGTCTTATTTCTTTTCTTTAGATAGAGATTAGAAAAAAAAAATTTTAAAAAGGGTATATATAATATACAGAAGATATTTAGCTATGAACGGTAGAGATCTCCTTTTTGAACAGTGGGGAACCAGTTTCTATCATATCCATTGTAAGAGTTTTGAAGCACAGTACTAAACCAATTAGTGTGAATGCTTAGGTCCAAAAATGAATAGTACAACTCCATCCACTCTTTCAAAGTAAGTAGGATGTATAGATTATCTAGGAAAATGAACCAGTATTTTGTCCACAGCTCCAGTTGATTACAGTCACGTTTTAAGCAACAGTGTATCTTCAGGATCTGTTAGAACTCAGTGACATACATATCTACTAAAACATAGTGATTAAATTGAAGTCTTATCAACCTAAGCACTTCTTCAATATTTGAAATTTCCATTTTCAAAAATAATTGAAAGTGAAAAATAGCATACTCTAAAATGGATAAACATGTCCAATCGTGAAGAATAACTCAACCAGTCAACAAGAAGAAACCAAATGAATAGTTCACAACATATTCACAGCAGTATGGCTTTTTCTCTTGACCAATGAATATGGGGAAATGTGGACAACAAGAGTGACATCGAGGAATGCTATCCATTAATTGCCATGTGAAAGGTCAAATGTTCACATCTAGAAACCAGCACCAAAAACCATTGAAAAAAAAATAAAGTTGAAGCACTTCAAGTTTCCACTAAAATCTATGTTTCTCACGGCAAGACAAATCCAAAGAAACGCACACAAACCCCCAATTCCCTACCCCAAAACTACGTTATCTATTACTCACTCACATCAAAGAAATGCAATTTTTTCAACCAGTCCAAATCCATGGATGCACAATACCACATTTCCTCCTTACTAATATATTAATCTATTCTTCATGCACTTTGTCAAAAAGAAACTACTAATACCTTAAAACAGTACTATTTCTATCAATAAAAAAAAAAAGTACAGTAAAACAACATTAATATATCATATCAAACAACATTGTGTAGTTTATCATAAACGTCATCACAAGTTTACAAAAACAAAAAAAAAAGATCTTTATATCAAAAAGTAGATACTATTACGGTAACATTTAGGTCTGCATAGCTCACTTGCTTTAGTAATTGAGTACCAAAAAACAAATCATTAAGAGTTCAGGGAACAAGAAGCTAATACAAAGAAATGGTTAAAAGTAGCAAACATTTTTCAGCTGGTTATATAACAAAATAGACCCAACTTTTCAAATCAATTAATAGCATATTCAAAGGAAAAAAAATCTTTTTAAAACTGTAAAAAACAGGATATACTATTGAGAATCACGAAGGGTTGATTCTGCCCTCATGATTCTTCGCGATCAGCATACTAAAAGATAGGTAGAATATGACTAGAAAAAGCAGAAACAATTAAAATATTCAAGAATCCAAACCTTGGGAAAAAGAAAAATAAAACAAAACATTTACCTATATAAGCCAAAGAAACCAAATTACAACAAATAATAAATTCTATATGCATAATTATCAAAATTAAAACATTTCTAATATGAACAAGCAAAAGAACTAAGATGAGAGATTAACTGAAACATAGCAGCCTCAAGGAACCCATGCTATTGGCATCGATCGATGTCGGCGATTTGAGGAAAAGGCGACAGTGACTCAAACGAGTAGAGTACTATAGGCGTGAGAGAGAAATGGAAGATAGGATTTGAGTTCGCGAGTCGTGAAGTTTTCTTATGAAATGTGAGTTTTTTTTTTTTTAATTATTCTTTAAACAAAGCGGGTCTGGTCAATTTTGGGCGGTTTTTACTGATCAACCCGTGACCCGACCCGCAACGACCCAACACAAGCATTTACTGTTGATTGACATTTGTAATGATATGGAAAATTTTGAATTCTAGTGTGGAAATAGAATTTTCTGACAATGATATTTCCATCTACATAATTCGAAAATGGACATTGATAAAATTGTGGACATTTTTGCAAATTACTAGTTGAAAATGGGCATTATGTGAAATTTTCATAAAAGTTTTGTTTGTGAATTTACAATTGATGATCTTGATCGAGTGGTTGTCAAAATCGAATCAATCTAAATTTGAACAATAGATTATCGACATTTTAAATCCCTTATCTCTTTTACTTTTGCCCACTAAATAGATACGTACCTATTATTAGTTTCTGAAATCGTATTATAAAGAAAAGAATGAGTCGATATTAAAAATATAAATATATATTCTTAAGTATATCTTGATCTCAATATGTGTGATATATTTGTTGGAAATTAG